CATGTGAATGACTGCACCTGAATGATGAAACATTAAGTAGGGATGTGAATGGGGTAAGAATCATATCTAAGACATTCTGGGATCCTTGATGGTCTCAGAGTGCACTGATGATGTTACCTAGTTGGGTCATGAGACATCTGGAAGAAACAACTCAAGTTCAGAGAGCACCAAGGAGCCCACAGTTCAGCTCTGAGCTACAAATATTCCCTTTTATCGGAACTAAGTCTATAATGGATGCACATTGCATCAACCCAGTCAATTGTGGCTCATTCCATCAACCATCGTGGGAAGAATGCAATGCTGGCTCCATAGTCCTGGGAAATTGGTCACATCTAGCATCCCTGCTTGATCCTAAAAATTGATCACGTCCATCATTGGTTGATGCTGGGACCTTGATCACATCCAGCACCGCCGGTGTTTACCTTGGTTAAAACCTAGTGTGACCTCCGCCGTGGGATGCCCGGTGTCTGCAGAGCCCACCGTTGTGGTTTGTTTTTAAAACATTCCAGACAAATGGCTGTCCAGTCTCTTAAAAACCTCCAGTGATGCAACACCCACGACCTCTGGAGGCGAGCATCCGAACGTTGACCATGTGACTGTTGCATCAGTCGTATGTGTGAGAACTGGTTGCAAGTCACCTTTTTGAGGGCCGGTTTGTAACTTCCAATAAATGAATGGTTGTTTAGTCGAGGAGTAACTGCAGGCTTGCATTTCCTAAGATGCTAATTCTCAGCACATCCAGTCCAAGGAAAAAGCTGCGTCAGCTATGAGACACAAGAGATTCCTGTTTTGTTTTGTTTTTAAACAGCAATTTAATTCTTGGACACCAGAGAGCAATGCAGAGTCAATTGAAGACTGCCAGGCTGAGCTATAGATTGCAATCAAGGATCAAAAGAAGGAATGCCATGAAGTCAAAAGACTATACTATCTTTTGCAATATCTAGATCAAGGGTCTTCAAACTTGGCAAGTTTAAGACTTACGGATATCTATCTATCTACTCTGTCTGTCTGTCTGTCTGTCTATTTATCGGCATCTAACAAATGGAATTTAAAAAGAAAATTATTGTTCTCTTCTCCTCCCAATCATGAATTGTTGGTAATAGGAAAAAAAGCATGGCAAAGAATTCCTTGCTGATGGCTCCCTCCCGCTTTCTCCCAGACTTTTGGCAAGAAAACATTAAAAGGAAAACAATTTCAATTCAGAATAGAGCTGGAAGGGACCTTGGAGGTCTTCTAGTCCAACCCTGTCCCATTTCGGACATTCTTCAGTCCATTCTTTTCTTTAAAAAATTCCAGTGATTGAGCACCCACCACTTCTGAAAGTGCCCTTGTAACTTTGAACGGTCACTAAATGAACTGCTGTAAAGTCGAGGTCTACCTGTATGGAAACCTCTCTCTTCAACCAGGTAAATACAGAAAGTCCTCGACTTATAACTGTTCATTTAGTGACTGTTCAGAGTTACAATGGCACTGGAAAAAAGTTGATTATGACCGTTTTACGACCATGGTAGCATCTCCAGGGCCACGTGTCCCAAATTCAGACGTTTGGCAACTGACTCATATTTATGATGGTTGCAGGGTCCTCTCCCCTTTTGTGACCTTCCAACAAGCCAAGTCAATGGGACAGCCAGGCTCACTTAACAACCACAAACGTAATGATTCACTTAGCAGCTGCAGCAAGACAAGTTGTAGAACGGGGCAATCTTGCTTAACAAGTGTCTCACTTAGCAACATAAATGTTGGGGTCAATTGTGGTCGTAACTCAAGGATTACCTGTATTGTGTGCACACTAACAGGTCTTGTCTCTTCCCAGTCTCCACTGATAGCAGGCGGTTGGGGCATCTGCAACACTCATAACGCATTCACACGCTGAGTGTGCTGCTTGCCATAAGGCAGCTGCTGCACACAGATCTTCTTAGGACATTGTGGCACACAACTGGTTGCGTTCTCCAGCCTTCTAATTCAGGGTTGCGAAGATCTGATTGCAAAGGGGAGCAGTTTATTGTCCATAAATGCAGTGTTTGTTTCCTCCTCGGGTCTAACGGTTGTGCTGATGGTTTTGTTGCAAGTTGTGGCAACTTCATCACTGAAGGTTTTTAAGAAGAGACTGGACTGCCGGTGTAGGTTCTCCTGCTTGGGTGGGAGTTGGACTAGATGACCTACAAGGTCCCTTCCAACTCTGTTATTCTCTTCTGTTCGGTTAGCTGAGGGTGCCAAATCGTCGAGGCCGACCCTCCCGACTGTTCCCTGCTCCCTGGGGTGACAGGAGAGGCGGAAAGCAGTCACCTAGGCTAGGCCCTTTTAGGACGCCTCTCCCTTCGCCATTCCAAATGGCCGTCTTGGCCCTTCCGTTCCTCTTTGATTCACGCCAAGCTCATCCAGAGGATCCGGTTCTCCCTCTTAGAAGGATTAGGAGGTTTGGGCTGCAAAGATGCACGCCCCCCCCCCCCCCCCCCCCCCCTCCACGCAGTGCTTTGAAAGAGAACCTGGGGTTGATCTGCTCCCCCCCCCACCCCCACCCCTCTCTTGGCCAAGGGTGCAAAGGCAAACGGCTCTGGTTCGATTCCAGCTCATCTGAAGCAACCCGGAAGCATTCTTTGGGGAGGTGTGAGGAGGAGGGAACAATCTCAGCCAAAGCTGGCAGAATCTCCAGCGTCTTTCTTGCCTTCGCTTGCCGAGGCAAACAAGGATGAAGCGAATAAACAGGAGACGTTTGTATACAAGACGGCTTGCACGGACTATTTGCTTCTCGCCCAGAGAGTTGAAATGGGGGTAAACGTCTCGCTTGGGGAGTTGAGATGGGGGGTAAACACAGCACTGGAGCAAAAACAAACTGCCTTTAGGTTTAGTTCTCAAAAGATATTGTGGTTAGTGGCTCCATGTCTGAGAAGGATGGGATGGATGGTCTCTCTCTCTCCCTCCCTCCCTCCCTCTCTCTGCCTCTCTCTCTGTGTGTGTCTCTCTCTGTCTCTCCCTCCCTCCCTCTCTCGCTGTCTCTGTCTCTCTCTGACTCTGTCTCTGTCTCTTTTTCTCTGTATGTGTTGAAACTGTTGTTGAGGTATATCTTCCTATGTGTCAAAGCAAACACTGGTGTTTATCCTTGTTGGCAGTTGTGAACATCTAAGCAACATGCCTAGCTTTTCCTTCTGGTAAACCATCTCTTATCTTCCATCCTCTTCCATCTCTCATCTGTCCTTCTTTGCTTTTCTTCCCTTGTTTTTTCTTTCTTTTTCTTCCTTTTCTTTTGTCCCGTCCCGTCTTGTCTTTTCTTTTTCTTCCCTCTTTTTATCTTTTCCCTTCTCGTCCTTTTTCTCTTCTCTTCCTTCTCTTGCCCTTTTCTCCCTGCTTTCCTATCCTTTTTTCTCTTCTCTCTTCTTTGTGTGTTCTTTCTCTTTTCTTCCCTCTTCTCTTTCTTTCTTATTCTCTGCTCCCCTGCTCCCCTAGCCAAGAAAAGTGGGTTGGGGGAAGACCTGGTAACTGAAAGAATTCAAAAATCCCCCCCCCCCAATTTCTCCATCCTATTCCAGACCTTACCAGATTAAACACATCAACTCTGAGGATTGCACGCGGTTTGATCCTTGGGGACGAACCGAGCTGGGAGAGAGACACATGGCTTTGGAAATGGGTCCACCGGAGACCTTTGCATTTCATTGTACAGATGGTTGGGCCAATGCAGACCCATTCTCTCCCCCACTCCGTCTCAAACGAACACCAGCCTCTATAAAGTGCTGACTCAAACCACTGACATTAATCAGAATTGTTTTCCCGCTTTTGAAGACTGCGGGGGGGGGGGGTGTTTCTTTGGTGAGGGGAGGGGGAGTGCCAGAGGCAGCTGCTATTTTCTAAATGCTTCTTTGGGATGTGCAGCCCTCTGTTTTTATGGATTCCTGGACAAACATCCCAATAAAAATAAGTAAATAAAAGCACCCAGCTGCTCCTTTTTCATGCCAAGGGAATTCTGAACTCTGCTGCTAAATACCTCAGGCTCACCAAGTCAGCAGGTGCAGTGGTTAGCTAGCTGGGGGACACCCCCCCCCCAATTTCGTTGTTTCCTACGAACAGCAACTCAGAAGAAAAGAGGGGTGCACACCCCAATGACGCATTCAGACCAAAGCCGCTCCCCGGGCACCCCCCCCCCCCCAAACAAAAAAACCCCCCCCCCCCCCCCGCAGTCTTCAAAAGCGGGAAAACAATTCTGAT